GTTATCGCAAATTTTCAAATATATATCGTGATAAATATTTTTGGCCATATCGCCCTGCTCTAGTGGGAACATCAACAAAGCCAATTAGAAATCAAAGCATGACTCCAGTGTTCCTTCAAGTAAAGACCTCAGAACTTCTGCAATTTAGCAAATACAACATAGATGTAACAGAATATAAACAAATATTCTTACTCTTCTTTTAAGCAGCCTTTCTTATTGGCCTCCTCTTCATCTTCCTCCTCCTCACCATCATCGTAAGGACCATGGAGGTAGGGATTAAGAGGAGGTGGGCGCCACAAAGAGCCATTTTTAAACATCCTAAAGTCATCTGTTCGCCATTTGGCTGGTGATTCACCCTGAGGAAGTAATAAATCACAGTGAACACATTGATAAAAAGAAGAAACTTAGTGGAATGGCTGGATCCCCCTGAAATTTTGCAACTTTTTTCTCGATAGAAAACTAACCTGCAGTATGGAGTAGAGCTTCCATCGGTAGTATACATGTGCTGGGCTCTGGTTCTCAAATAAAAACCTGTCATAAAAAGACATACACAACCTTTGTAACTCAGCACATAAAGAATTTTAGCTAACAGAATAAAACTACATTTCTATTGTGCAGCTAAGCTCACCTGTACATGGGATTGTTGATCTCTCTGTTCATGATCATGGCTTCAAACATTGGTCCTTCACGCACCACAAACTCGATCATTCGATGGATGAGAGAGAGCAAATTCCTACAAGAAAAACACAGTTAAAGCAAACGGATTCAGACTGGACGGACTCTTGAACACTACTAAAACCTCCCAATTAAAGATTAATTTATTCTTGGTGGTCTGACACACTCAACAGGCTGACTAGGCAAAGACAATTTATGTCACACAATGAAATGCTGCAAGCATAAATGCAGCTGTATTGACCTATACCTGAATAATAAATTTCTACTGTGATATTATATACTTGGTACAGAACGATGCCTAAATCACTCTAAAATCTTACCACAATACCCATTTATTATTTACTATGGCGACGGTTTAAATGACGGGGAATATGAGACAACAGATGACTGTCAGAGTGCGTCACATGACCAGGAATAAATTAACCATCACTGTGGCTACACCTCTGGGCCTACATATAACATCAATGAATACACGCAAAAAATAAAAATATGTATATAAAAACATTTTGTGACAGTACGACATTCATGTCAATTAAAAAAAAAAAAAAAAAGGAAAAGAAAAAGAAAAGAAAAGAGAAGCTTTTTTTTATTGCGTCTACTAAGGTCATGCCTGTGTTCTTTGAAGCTACAGTGCAACAGCTTTTAATTACATTGCACTGCTCGGAACCTTCATATAAAATATCTTTAAGTTCAAATTTCACAATGTGGGGGTGAGTGGAATTGGGAACAACAGGAGCGAGACATTAATAAGACACCGTACTAACAGGAATATTTGTCAGTACAGTGCCTTTCAATTCCCACTCTTTCCTACTAATGTAACGTGAAAAAGCAGTACATGATCTTTGGCTTAAAACGGATTATCTACTAGTGGAGTTGGTACCGACTTAAAACTGTGCAAATGGGAACGTTAGAAGTTCTTCTGTGATAATTTGTAGAGGAAATAAATTGTGCAGGCTGCATACAATTAGCCTAAAGTGGCCAACGAGACAAAGGATGTCTTTCATTTGACAACACAAATCACATTTACTTGTATTGGAGCCGATCGTACCAATGACGGGGTAAAATTCTGTATACTTTCCCAATCCATCCCATGATGCTTTTCAGGTCCCTCGCTGCTGCAGACAGTTCAACTTGTGCTGCTCACCAAGGCCAATGTCAAAGGTCATATATAGACTAATGATGGCAGGTTTGGATTTGTCAGCAGGAGCCAAATTTACTGAGCTCCTCATAGTGACAGAGGCCAAGGGGGGAGACGGTCTGAGTGAGCAATGGTCAGAGAACAGGTTTTCACAACTACGGATCTAGAATCAGCAGATCATGTATGTAGCAGAGTACAACATCACTAAAGTTGAGAAACACGATTTAATGTCTATGTATGGAGTGGGACTGTGAACGTAATGATCTTTTTCTCTAAATAGCATAGTTATTAAGATCTATAATGATGTTTGGCTACACATGTAAAGAAAATATGAATGATGGAGGGATGTGAAACAAACTTCAGTCAGTATTATTCTAGGTACTAGTATGAAGACGCCGTGCAGCTGCCTCAACCATTGCTCATCCACACTGACCAGCCCCCTGTAGCATGCAGTGATCAAATGATCAAATGTATTAGTTTCATTATGGGATGTTTTTTTTCTTTCTAAGTTTGTACACCAATTTAAAAAAAAAAAAGAAAAACATGTACCTTTCTGTTGGGATAACCACTTTGACTATGGCTTGCGACAGAGTCTGTATATGAAGTCACATCAGATAATAAACATAGAATGTGAGTATTGTTACAAAGGCAACAGGTGAAAAATATAAAAAATGCATTTAAAAAGTGCAAAAAGACAATAACTTTCCTTTCCTGCTGTCAGTTTTACTAGAGGCCAAACAACCCTGATACTTTACCATAGTAACACCTCTTTGTAACACTGAGCATTTTGCACACATTGACATTTGATAATGACACTTTCTTACACACAACAACTAATTCAAAATCTAAATCCTGTACTGACTTGCTTATTATGACTAACATCTTACCACCACAATTAACAAAACATTGCCATATCCCATGAGAAAATCCTAGGCTGACGTATTGAATTACCTTGTCGAACTCCTCCTTGTTTTTAGGTGGAGGAAGCAGAGGAGCATTGGGGTTCTTTAGCCTCTCTCGCGGCTGTGCGTTGAATGGGAGGCCAGAGGGAGGCGGGGGGAGTGTATGCTCCATCATAGAAGGAGGGATATAGATGGGATGGGGTGGAATGGGCACACCTTTTCCCCATCCTAATTTCATCTCAAAGTTCATTATCATCTTTCCTATTATGGGAGTAAATGTGCATTAAATTATACACGCACATGTGAACTGGAAAGAAGATAAAAGGATGTAATATAACAACTTAATAAAAGAATTCGAGATTCGTACCATTTAAGTTTTTGAGTGCTCGCTCTGCATCCCTCCTGTTCATGAAAGCCACAAAGCCACAGTTCCTCTCCCGAGCCCTTTCCTCATCTGTCCTCGGCCACATGATTTTCACACTTGCCAGCGGGCCATACCGGCCAAACTCTTGGCACAGCATCTCTTCGTTCATCTATGAAGTAAATGATACAAATTGAGAAACACAGACATTGCATAAATATTTCCCATTCTGAATTAAGGGCATATGTAGCAAATTTTGAAGGATTAGCAACATGCTTAAGCCCCTCCTTTTATGGCATGCTTTACATTACTTCCACTTCATGCATGTTTAGATACAAACCTGTGGATTGATGTTTCCAAGGTACAAGTTAGTAGTGGATGGATCTCCAACGTCATGGGAACCTGGTGCACAGTCATCCAGAACTGCAGACACAGAGAAGAGAAAAGAATTTCCTGCTGCTGTCTGACAGGACCAACATTATTTTCTTAGCAAGATAAAGGTATTCACGGTCACTATATTAAGTCAAAATTACCACTGGACGGACGGTTTCTTCGTGAAGAACCATCCGCTAAAAGAAGCAGAAAAGCAGTATAAATTTTGTTTCAGGGTAGATGTGGACAAAGGGACAGAGGGTGGCGTAAGGCAGGAAAGGGCCCTGTCAGGCCAAGTTAGTGCACGTAAGGCAGTCACGCGACTTAAACAACACTTACAGGAGCGTCTTCCATCTGTCCCAGAGAGCGGTTCGAAGCGACTAACACGTCCTTTCATCTTGTGTCTTTCATCTCGCTCTTCCTGTATTCTACAAGACACAGACACATATCACAGCTGATTAAAATCTGTGTTTAATATATTACAACTTTAATAACCACACCAAAAGTCTTAGGAACAGCTAATCTCTGCCACTAAAATATTTTAACACCTTCCTGTGTTAAAACTTACTGTTTAAGTTCTTCTTTGAAGAGCTCCAAATTACTCTTCTTCTTTTCCTTTTCACTGCTCTTCTTTAAGCCCTACAATGAGGAAACCAGGTAAGTGTTATTCAATGCAAAAGTTAGACGAGATGCTTCTCATTCTCAGAAACAGTACTTACATGCCGTTTGTCTAATGCTAAAAATTGTGGCGGAGTTTCCAAAGGCAGGATGCTTTTTGGTTGGGTCTCAAAACGTGACTTAGGCTTGTACAACTTTCCTCTCTTGTCATCAGAAGCCGCTTCCTCTGCAAGGAGAAAACCTTTTTTTAGTTTTCGCCCTCCAATCACATTACTATTTCAATTTCCGAAGTAAAAAAGGTTTGGTGAACTGTTCTTTAACATTTGCATATTTTGCAATCAGTTTGAGAAATATATAATGCAAAACGTATACCTTTCGTTGCATTTGCAATGCCACCACGGACAAAAGCTTTGACTTTTCCCTCCCCTCCTCCTTCAAAAGCAGCAAGAAACTCCTCATAAATTTCAGCTGCCGCTCGTTCATCTTCCTGAACACACACGCGCACAAAGGTGTCAAAGTAAATAAGTCATATAAATCTCTAACAGCTATTACTCATGCAGAGAATATTGTGCAAAAGGAAAATCCATACTTACTTTTTTCTTTATTTCATCTTGTTCCTTTTTGCTGAGGGTTCTCTTTGCCACTGCCATCTTGCCAATGCTGAAAGACTTCAGTTTGCTCTCAAGCAGCGCCTGTACATGTCAACAAAGTATGGTTGTTTTCACCAGGTATTTAATAAGCACACATTACGACTATTTAATAACTGGAAACAACCACGACTTGTTCAAGTAATGTTGAGTCCTGCTATTATTATTATTTAATATGCCTAACAATTATCCCGTAAACAGGTAACTTCAGCGCGGACTGTAGCCGCTGGTTTATAAAGTCGGCTGTATTAAATAGGCGCCGGCAACCGTTACTCAGACATTTAACACTAATTATTTAAGTATAATACATTACACATTTACGACCAAGCTGCAGCTGGAGACCAGGAAAGATGAAGAAATTAGCTAAATTAACAAGAGGCCTAAGAAGTCGTCTTTTGGTGCAGCGCCACGGACTGAATGCATTGCGCTAAACGGCGAATGACGGTTAGGCCCCAGCTCCCAAATGCTTAATTTACTATTTCCACACTGAAATATACAACCACTGTACGTCATCCAGAAGACAATGCACGTGTAAAGCTTGTGATTTGCGAACAAGTTTATTCCTGTGATAACTGCTTCCATTAATCCAGTTTATGGTGACCAACACATTAGCTTAGCTTAGCTAAAACCAGCCAGTGTGGCTGCGGCGCCTCAGTTAGCCGTAGCGCGGCAGTGTTAGCAGACACTGTTGCGCACACTCCCTGTTGTGGTCTTTTACAGCAAACAGCTAGTGCTGTTCAAGCACAAGATTATTTGCACAGTTCTCATTACAACAGGTGCAAGTGAGCTAAAACAACTACAAACTATAAGTTTACCTTAGCGCTAGCTTTCTGAGAGCCACCAGGCGTTCGGTCCGCCATCTTTTGTGGAACTGAAATGAATCGATCGCCGAGCTGATGATAGTGGCAACTGTGAAACTCCAGGCGTCGCAATCAATCACAGAATCGCCGATGCTTCCCATCTCTCTTCTTTCAGTTTCTCAAGCGCGACACAAGGATTCAAAATTCTATCACGTACTAAAACTATAAATATGTATAAATTAATAAAATTAATACCACTATTACACTACGGAAGCGTAGAGCTGCCACCCAGGCAAAAGAAAAATACAAGTGTATCACGTTATAACGTGAAAGGTTTATTGTTCTAACAATATACTATCATGTTTGTACAATATACTATCATGTTTGTACAATATACTTTTCACGTTTGAACAACATAATATCACGTTCGTACAATATACATAATTATCACGTTCGTACAATATAGGATCACGTTCGTACAATATAGGATCACGTTCGTACAATATAAATATTATATTGTACGAACGTGATAATTATGTATATTGTAATAACGTGATATTATGTTGTTCAAACGTGAAAAGTATATTGTACAAACATGATAGTATATTGTACAAACAGGAAAAGTATCTTGTTAGAACAATAAACCTTTCACGTTATAACGTGATACACTTCTATTTTTCTTTTGCCTGGGTGGCAGCTCTACGCTTCCGTACTACGCTTCCGTAAACTCTCATTTGCTGCTCTAAGTGACTTCGATCTCACTCTATCCTTTTTGTTTGTTTGTTTTTGTCCCCACTGAAAATTCCGATGTGAATGGTGTGTATATGCCATAATCAGCATGCAGGTTCCGTATAATTCAAACTGCAGATTCAGACTAAGATATCAGGGTAAATAAACAAAGAATGAAGGAGCCTAAATATTAACACACGTGTACCAGTGCAAGAAAATAAGGTAATTTCACTATTCATGAAATTTAAAAACAAATGACATGGACTGAGCATTTCAAGAAATGCAAATGGACAAATAGGTAACATCTAAAATAGAAATAATAATTATATAATCAAATCAACAACATAATATGATGGCGAGAACAGCACATTTTTGACTTGGAATTTGAGTGATAATAAAATTGCTTACACCATAGTTTGTCCAGCAGGTGGTGCTCTCTTTCAATCCTCAGATGACCCCTTTGCAGCACACAACTCTAACAAGCCATATTTCATGTAATTGTATTTTGTATTCAGTTTATAGAGATATATAAAATATAAAATAAAAAAATAAGATTGGAGAACACAACACAAGTTGCCTCATTCACCTTTAGGCACATGCAGGTATTTGAATTCAGAAATATACACGTTGATCGGAATGTGAAACCATGCATAGATAACTTCTGGAGTCAAGTATATTCATGCCATCTCCTTAAAGGTTTTTCGTTTTCAAGCCAACTAATGCAAGCGCCCACTCCCTCCCCTCCCAGCGCGTCTTTAACCCCCCCTGAGGGGAAAAAAAAAAGAAAGAAAGAAAAAAAAAAAGACATGTGCACCCTGCGCCCCGTCCCTCCTACCACGCAGAACAAACGCTATATTCATCTGCTTGCTTGAGTTTTCCGTTGCTGAAACTCCTTACAGGAGCTCCTGGGTACTTTTCCCCTCCGTTTTAGCCTGTTGAGCACAATGCCATTCACGCCACCGGGCGAAAACAGGCGAAGCTCCTGCTCCGTTTTCCCAACAATGTGGGGAACATGCAGTATTTTTTGCGCATGGACTCTACTGTTCTTGACAGAAGTCTGTGCGCAGTCCCAGCAGAGGTACTTCTTTATTTACTTTTTACCCCAAACTCAAATTTTCTTGAAAGATTTATTAGATTAAAAAAGTAAGGATCCCATTTAGCCTTTTGAAAATCACCGTCAGATGACTGGAGTTGGAAGATTATTGTGCAGTATGGGCTGCCTCGGGACATGTGGCGAGGAACTGAATGCACTGAATCCAATGGATATTATCAACTTTGTTTTTAAATTTTGCTGTAATGCACCGTTATTATTTTATTTATATGTATAGAAAATATCTTTCTCCTCAGACCAATCTTTACATGTGGCGGAAACATCACAGGAGAGTCTGGAGTAATCGGGAGCCAGGGGTACCCAGGAGTTTACCCTCCAAATACCAAATGTGTGTGGAGAATCACAGTGAGTCCAGTTGTGTTTTTCATTCATAGCATATGATGACAGTGATAAAGCATTGTTCATTAAAAATAAATACAGTATGACAATCTTTGTCTTAGTCCAAACTCCTAATTTCCTTCTAAAAATAGTTAACCACAGCCGCAGTTAGCTTAGGGCAATCTTTGCTGAGTGGTTCTGTGATGTTTTTGTACTTTATTGCAGTGAAGCTGATGATTAGGTTGGAAAAACGGCATAAGCTGGGTTAAAATGCACAATTAGGTTAAATGTTTGAGAGTATTAAAGTAACAATATTCAGTATTTAGGTCTATGCTCATTTATTTGTTATGCCATCTAATAATAATAATAATTTAACTAAGCATTCTCCAACTCCCCACCCAGGTCCCGGAGGGCAAGGTGGTGGTACTGTCATTCCGCTTCATTGATCTGGAGAACGACAACCTGTGTCGCTATGATTATGTGGATGTCTACAGCGGCCATGTCAATGGACAGAGACTGGGTCGCTTCTGTGGAACGTTCAAGCCAGGAGCCCTTGTTTCCACAGGCAACAAGATGCTCCTGCAGATGGTATCCGATGCCAACACTGCTGGGAGTGGCTTCCTGGCTGTTTTCTCTGCTGCCCATACACATGAGCGAGGTAAGAAAACATGGGGAGAAGAAGAAGCTTGGGCATGCTTCCTCTTAACACAGCTGTCTTAGTCAAAGGTGCCAAGTTTGCAAGGGTAGCAGAACATCTTGCTGCTATCCAAGCATGTAATGCAGAAATATGTGGAGCTTCTGTAATGTTACTAAGAAGTAAATCTTACCTTGTTTGTATGCAGACACCCAGTAAAACAACAGGATGTATCCGTTCGTGTAGTGCTCAGTAAGAGCAGGTCTGTGGGCTAAAAGTCCATGTGGATTAAAAGAAATCTGCTTTTTAACTCTTCTCGCACTGTGATGTGGAATTTCTCATGTTTTTTGGCTATTGTGCTGCAAGGCAAAGGTCAGAAATTTCACTTAGAGCCTTTAGCGTTTTCCTCACTGGGCCATCTACTGTTTTTAGAAGTTTAATGTCTGGTTTTCTGTACCGTAGGAGCTGACAGCTGTAGTGGACAGTGTCAATTAACCAGTCAGCCAGGCTCTTACACGCTGGCAGAGAGACTGTTGCTATCCTGTCTTTAAACATGGTTAAAACTCTGCTGCACCACGTGTCACCCATTTGTAGAGATTTGTTTTCTTCAATTTGCTAAATGTATTTTTTTACATGCTGGAAAGGCAGAATCAGTTAAAGTATATGTCATAAGGAACGCGTGTTTTTAAGCGATTCGATCCTTTGAGAGTTTGTGTTTTTTCTGAACTGATGTTCCTCTGATGGCAGTTATTTTTAAACCCACAGATGACTAATGACAGACTTGCTTTTTATGGTGTTCATAACGACAAAAAGGCAGTGAGAGCCCCTAGACGCAGTTAATAACACGAGCACATTACTGACTCACCATTATAGCTTTTAAAAGATTGCTAAATAACATTCATTATTTCATTCAAGCAATAACAGGAGCAGAATTTAGCTAATTAATTGTGTAATCATAGCACTAACTTCAGTCATTTCTCTTCAGGGGACCAGTACTGTGGAGGGAGGCTGGTTAAGCCCTCTGGGACTTTCAAAACACCCAACTGGCCTGAGAAGGACTACCCAGCTGGAGTGACCTGCTCCTGGCATATAGTAGCACCAAAGAACCAGGTCATACATTAAAATTTTTACTTAAAAAAATTAGTAAATGCAAATGTTTCTTTCTGAATAACTGGCCTCAAATGAACTGAAATTCCAGGAGATTGTGCAAAAGTTTTGAGTCACTCCTAATTTCTTTATATTTTGCTTCCAAGGAGACACTCTGTTTTGTCATTTTTTAAAGTGCTGTTTAGCAATACTTCTTCAGGCTTTCTGGAGGGTTTTCAAAGGCTTTCTTTGAACATTGGCTGCTTTTTCACTCATTTTCAGGCCAGTCCTTGTACCTGAACATTTTCAGGGGAATATCTTTGTTTGTTTGTTTCTTTATTAGGCCACAATATCTGTGCACCATTCAAATATCAAACACAGTTTGACAGGCAGAATATAGTATTTTTGTAACAACAGAGTGATTCCCAAAGAGTTTTTAGAGGAAAATTGTCATATCTTGACATGGTGTGTGATGTGTGCTTAGAAAATCTGAGGAAACTGGAGAAGCTATCCACAGCAGATAAACAGAGTTTTGTAAATAAATGAAGATACAGAAGTTTTTCATCTAGTCATTTTTCCGTGCATGTTTTCCCTCTATATCAATGATGAGTTCTTTTAAGAAATCTCAGTGAGTCGCAGGTGGAGTATATCTTTTCAAAAATGACAGCATACACTTTAGTCAGATGATGCACCCTAGGGCCTGTTATAAGCTTTTGCTAGAAAAAAGAGGAATACTTTATAACTTGTCTCCTGCTGCAGATTATTGAGGTGAAGTTCGAGAAGTTCGATGTGGAACGAGACAACTACTGCCGCTACGACCACGTCTCCATTTTCAACGGGCCGGAAATAAACGATGCGAAGAGGATTGGCAAATACTGCGGAGACAGCCCCCCAGCGTAGGTGATTTCTGTCATGCTGTAGAGTTCATTTTCACTAAACCATCATGTGATGTCATCTCAGTTCATCCTCAGTCTGCTTTCCCGTGCTGCTCTGTAGGCCGGTGTTGTCGGAGGGGAATCAGCTCCTAATCCAGTTCCTGTCAGATCTCAGCCTGACTGCCGACGGCTTCATTGGGCACTACAAATTCAGACCAAAGAAATTCCCCACCACAACAGTACTGCCTGCAACTACCACACAGCCAGTCACCACCAGGCCAATACGTAGGTAGCAGCTTATATTCAATAGAAACCATTAAAAAACTTCTAACATCCACAGACTTCTAATATCTGCATTAGCTGATTTGACTGTATTTGCTTTGTGCTGCTGGATTCTTTGATAACATGTGGGATTTTATCTCCTTCTTTCAACTTGAGAAGGATCTAAAATCTGCTTCCAATAGCAAATGTAGGCAAGAGAAGGAAAGAGCGAGGTGCTTAAGTAGTAGTACAGTGTGCTGCTTGTGGCCATGCATTCTGCTACTGTCCCCACACATGTGGCTCACATAAGAGCAAATGCTCTGCTCACGTAAATAGATTATAGCAGTCAGCCAGTGAGTCAATAGAACATACTGGAAAGTGTAGTCCAATTACAGATGTAGCCAAGCACATGTTGTAACACAGCATATGCTAAAACTATGTGTTATGCTCATAAGACTTTTCTCTTGTGTAAACTGTACATAACACAAGGGGTGGGCGTGCGTCTGCACCTGCAATCACAGCTCATTTTCATAGTCAGACTCGCATTCCCACACATTGTTGTTTTTTTCCGTCACTCAGGCCAGGTTATTTTGGCGCCCCCCTGCTATGATGTCATGCTGTGTCACTGCTTTCTGGTTGGCTTATCTCCCCCCCTCACCCGACTTTCCCCTCCACAGTAAGAAAAATATTTGCACAGTCACATTGTATTTACTTCAAGCCTCAGTTCTTTCCTTTATGGATTCTCTTCTATCTTTAACTTCAAAAACAGACGTTCCCTCGCCACATAATCGAGCTATTGTCTGTGATACTGACAGCCATCCATCTGTAGAGACACTTGTGTTACCAAGAATACTCAGTAAATAGGCTGCAGCAGAAGCAGATGGCAACATAACTTACATGCCCGCGTCACTGGTGGGCAAAATTACAGAGGCTGATTTTTGTGTGTGTGTCTTTCTTTTTCTCTCTGTGCAGCTCTGAAGTACTCTGTTGCCCTGTGCCGGCAGAAATGCAAAAGACAAGGAACGCTTGAGAGCAATTACTGCTCCAGCAATTTTGGTGAGAACATAAAAGCTTACTGTAACTTATCAAAAACCACATTAAGCCATAGTCACTAATACATTCCAGCCATTTTTGTATCATTTAACATATCTGCTTTCACAAATACTAATCCTAAACAGCTTGAATTGCAGATTCTCTGAAGATATATATGAGTAGACCCCATGCTGACAGCCAAAACTCTCCTTAAGTAGCAGTTTATAGTCCTGATTATGTTGCTATCTTTGCTCTGTGATTGTTTTTCCCTTACACATCTCAAAGACTTCCTTGATAGCCTGTCAAGAAGTGAATGATTGCATACAGTAGGGCACGGTTACCTGTAGTTTAAACACACACTCATACTCAGCCACTGACTGTAGGCAAAGTGGCAATAAATGAAGGCGTTTATTCAGGCTCGGCAATCTGACACATGCGGTTTGTGTCGAGGAAAAGGGGGAAAAAAGGAAAGACGAGTGATGTGGCGGCGAATGCAGAAAAAGTCGTTTTTATGTGATCGGCGCATCTGAATGAAACAGGGAGACGAGACATGACAAGGCTGAAAATAGCTGGTCCAATCACTGCTGGTATTTTAAAATAATCAAATTATGTGGCATCTACACATTAAATCATCAAATACAGCTCGCTGGTTTATGTAACAGTAGCAACAGATATAATAGCACGACTAAAACAGGCAGTCCTCTGGCTAATTTCATCCCTGTCAGGAAATGAAACAGGCAGCATGTGAAGTCCAGACACATTGGTACCATCAGGTTAAAGAATCCTGTTCATGCTGAATGAGCCGTGCCTCCTCCTCCACTCCACCGGCTCCAGTATCACTCAGCTGTCACTGCTAAACGTCACTTCTCCACCAGCCGTGGAAACAAACGGCAAAACTGTATGTTTTTCTTTTGTGAGAGCTGGTCTGTCTAAACAGGAAATGGCTGAAACTTCACCCCGCACACTGGTCGCATTGTTTAAGCAGAATCAGACAGGAAAATAAACCTGGAACAAAGTAGCAAAGTATCTCTGCTCTGAGCAGTTAAACTGTCAGATGATTTATAATGACGTTATCGCCTTGATTTCTTTCTGTCTGTGTGACACTAATGATGTCCCACGTTCAATTTCCTCTTGTTTGATAGAGTTGGAATTCTTTGATGTTGTATTAAAGGGAGCTTTTACCTTATAGATGGATAAGGAAGCTTTAAAAAAAAAGGTCACAAGGGTGTAGCGCTCAGAGCCTGAAAGGAAATGTATAGAGTCTATGCTGTTAATCCACAGTGACATTTTTAAAGACAGGCTGCACTTCAAAGAAGCGGAGTTGAGATGTAGCACGCACATATTGTTCACAGCTCTCTCAGATATGAATATGATAACCAAACGTGAATGTGAGGATGAGGGGCTAGTACTGGCAGTTGCCATAATTTATTAACAGAGGGATGTTCAACATAGCATTTCTGAACATTCTGGTTTTCTTTAGAAAGCATAAATAGTTTCTTTTTGCACACAACAATTTAATTAATTCATAGAAAACAAAACCCAAACATTTCTAGGGTCAGTATTATTATACAAACAGACTTTTTAATTGAACCATAGCACAATCACTGCTGTGCATTGATGTGCTTTTACTTTGTAATGCTCAAAACTTGTACAATCAAGTTAAAACCGAGGGTTATCTTCCAATTTACATAGAGTAGATAAACCTCAGCAAGGGTTTGAGCTATCACTTGAGAAAGCATGATGCCAAAAACAAAAGATATCACTTTAGACTTGAGAAAAAGAATTGTTGAGGCTCACTAAGCAGGAGGTGGATATACAAAGTTATCACAGTGTTTCCAAGTGTCTAAAACTGGAGTGAGAAGCATCATCAAGAATTTCAAAGAGAGCCACAGAGTACAGAACAATGTTGGCAGAGGTAGGAAGTTAAAAATTTCAAAGAATCTGGAAAGAAAAATAGTGAGAGATGTGCCTAAAGACCCCAGAACAAGTGCCAAGACAAAGCAAGACCAGCAAAGTTGGATATTATAGTCTGCACAAGGTTGGAGGCCAAGTAAAACTCCACTTTTTGCAGAAGAGACGCTTTTAAAGCAATTCAATTCATTTTTAAGGAATCAAATCACAACAACGGTTGCCTTTACATTGCAAGGTAAACCATACAATAATACAGAGAAAACAGTGAGAACCCAAACAATCAGAGCAAAACAATATGAGCAAAACCTTTGGCAACAGTGGGAAAGAAAAACTCCCTTTTAACAGGAAGAAACCCCCTGTTGTAGGTGAGGGGAAGAAGACTGAGGTACTGTAGCACTTGCGGGAGCCATTGCAGTTGTAGTTTTCTATACAAGAAAATGTATCTGTGGATTTTACATGTATGTATTCTGTCTGTAAAGGCCTTTTTGGGGAGTTATATACACTATTTTTCTAAGAAATGTTTCAGTAATTTTTCATCTGCTTTTTGTGTTTACAACAGTGATAACTGGAACTGTTATTACAGCGGTGATTAGAGGTGGAAGTATGCACGCCACCGTCTCTATTATCAACGTGTATAAAGAAGGCAACCTGGCAATCCAGCAGGCAGGAAAGACAATGAGCACCAAGATCGTTATCCTGTGCAAAAAGTGCCCAGTTATCAGAAGAGGTGAGTGTACAGCGTAGAGATGAAATTAATTTTTCTCAGTGTCCTCGATGTAATTTCCCCCCCGGTTATTATCTGCAATATGATGACATTGTATAGATGCTGGTTGACTGTTTTGAATAACTTATGGCTCTGAGTTTGCCTCCTGTGATGCGCTGTCACTCTCAGTTGAGGCGTTAGGTGAGCGGCAGAACTCACTGTCCAAACAGTCAATTCAACTCTAAGTACTGTAAGTTTATATGTATGCATATAAACATATAGTATACAGACCTGCTGTGGGCAGATTCTCACATTTTGGCCTCCCTGAATGTCTCTGCCATTCTGCCACTGCATTCAGGTTTTTTTTGTGTGACCTCACTAGGCTTGAACTACATCTTCATGGGCCAGGTGGACGAGGAGGGCCGTGGAAAGATCGCCCCGCACCACTTTGTTATGGCGTTTAAGACAAAGAACCAAAAAGGACTCAACGTTTTGATAAACAAGCAGTGCTGAGTTCCGGTAGCTCTGGTGATCTTCTGTTAACTGGTCTGCTCAAGGCTCATCTGTGGATGGAAATTATTACATGAAAAAAAACAAAAGCAATCTCCTTCTCAAGAACACAAACGAAGGATATGAAAACAAATCTGAATGCGTTTGCGGAGCTGCCGCTGCAAATCATGGAAACTACATGATTTATTCAGTTGATGGAAACTTTGTGTGTTCAGTCATTTTCCTGTCCAGTTACGGTAAAAAGAAAGTACATCCTCTGTCACTTCTTATATTTTATGTGTTAGGATAATAAATACATTTAAAAAATGTAATCAAATTTATTTATTTAGCAAAAAACAAGTCAAAAAGGTAGAAGCCACTTGTAGAACAGCCAATTTCAGTAGGTTAGTAAGAGTCAATAGCTTTAAGAACCTATTTTAGCAGCAATAACTAGAAATTAGTTGTATGACTTTTCAGTCTCACATCCTTCTGGATGAATTCTTAAGATCCTGTCCAGCACTGGACTTTGATTGGGCCACTGTATCACCTTGATTCTTTTTTTTTCAGCAATTCTGTTGTAGATTTGCTGGAATGTTTGGGATCATTGTCCTGTGCCAAGTTTAGTGAAAACCAAACAGCATATAAGCATGAAGACCTCATACAGGCTGCCAAGTACCGCACCATAGTGGAGGGGTGATGATCACAGGACCTGGACACTGTGCAGTCACTGAACTCACCGTGAGCTCTCTATACAAAAGGACGACCAGTTTCAGCCCCGCATTAGCTGTCAGAGAGATGGCCTCACATTTGACTGTAGAATATTTTGGGATACAAAGGAGCTATGATATGCTGTTTGTGGTTTTTGACAAACGTGAGACTGTGGATTATGACCAAACACTCACTTTGGTTTCACGTGTCCAAAGCACATTGTTCCAGAAATCTTGTGGTTTGTTCAGATATAGCTTTCCAAACCTAAGCCATGCTGCCAAGTACTTTGGATGAGAGGAGGCTTTTGCCTTGCAACCCTTCCAAATAAGCCACACTTGTTCAGTCTCTGTCTAATTGTGCTACCATCCAGTTTACTGAGGCCTGTAGAGTCTGAGATGTAGCGGCCTGACCTTGAAGTGAATTAGCTGGGATGTCCACTCCTGGGAAGATTGGCACCTGTGAATATTTTTAATGACTGTATAGAACAGGGATGTCAAACACAAGGCCCGCGGGCCAGAATTGGCCCAGTGACCAGAATCGGCCTGAAAAGATTCCAATCTGGCCCACTGGCCGGCTTCGGAAACAAACACACTTACACACACAAAAACATGCATCCTTGCCGTAGAGCAGCTCTCAGCAATAGTTTCTTCTCTAAGATCATCGCTGATGTCTTTCCTCTTTGGCTTTGTGTTAACACACAGCTGAAGACACCAGACAATAGAAAACTGCCAAAACTTGCGTGTCACATAGGGGCTCACACTCGATGACGATCAGTTCATCGAATGCATTGGTTAGCAGCTGCTTTCTCCTCATTGGCATCTTAACTCACATGTAAGCAGTAAGGGCGTACATACTGCTTCTGCATTTAAGGGTTAGTTTTTGTGTAATATGTCATGTTTTGTAGTCCATCTGAATCTGATTTTGAGCCCTGCTAAGGAGCAGGTGGTTTTTATTATGTCCTGATACATAAAACCTTAGAAGTCAAAGTGAGTGTACTTTACTTTTTGTTTGTTTGTTTTTCTTTCTTTCTCTTTCTCTCTCTTTTTTTTTTTTTACCATGACTGTAAATCGGATGATTACAGAACAAACAAGACACGGAGAAATTCCCATCTGTCTTCAATTACTCGAGGTTTTCGCATTCATGTCATGATTCTAGCACAGGATTGAACTGACCCCAGTCACCGGTGTCTGAAATAGGCAGAACACCAATTTATTATAATGTTTCATAAGATAAACATTATTCATATTTTAAAAATTCGGTGTGCATGCACATCTGTTCTGGGATTCCATAGTGGCAGTTTTCCTCAGAGTATTCCATATTCTGCCTTTCAGTTTTACCCTTTGAGGCTCTTGAATACAATGTGAATAAAGGATGGGGCTGATGCATTAAATAAAGATGTCAGTTTGGCGGACCAGTCATTAATTTAACAAGCTTAATATCCACAGGGGGGATTTGTTGCAGCTATTTGTCGTAGCTTTAATGATGGTTTAGCACCTGCCATTAAATTCCCAAGTTCGGTTTTAATGGGCAGGTTTGGAAGTGTTAATTGTGGTGATTTAATGTGCAATATTTAATACATGCAATATTCTTTCAGTTCTTCTGGTTTCACGCCAACCAAGCGAGGAGCTTATTTGCTGAAGCTTTTTTCTCGAGCATCATCGTCATTATGATATTTTCTTAGTGTCTTTTTTTAGAAGCAAAGGTATGAAATGAAAACTATTTTCTTATGGAAAAAACTTTAATAATATTATTTATATTTTATTTTTGTCATCTGTCCAAATAAAACGCTTTCACCACTTTAGATTGTTCCTCTTTTTGTGTAAGACTTTTCACCTGGGAGAATGCCACATAATATCTGGTCTGTTTAGAGCGGTCGAGGCAAACACGCTCTGCTAAGCATCAGAATGGATGAGGTGTTTGTAGCGCAACTCTCTCGTGGAGCGGACAGCTCGGGGATTGGCTGAATAGTTTTGCTTTCAGACCTGTTGCAGCCAAAACGAAAAAAGCCATGAAATATCCAGTGTGTGTTTTTTTCTTAAATCTTTATTTATCTATTGAAAACAATGGCTTTTTTTATTTACAAAAAAGGTTACATAGCTGAGTAATAGATAGGAGGCCTGAGTCTGGAGGCTTTGGTGGAGGATACATATTTGTCTAGTTAAGTTCCAGGCTTAAAGTGAGGTTTAATAGCCTCTGTGACTCAAAAGAGCAGAGTATTTTTTTCTTTCTATTTTTTTTTTTTTTTTGCACATGCTCGGGTCACACAGCAGCCCAGATAAACAAGAAGCAAAGATTTTGTCAAGAGGACAGGAGGGGAAAGAATAACAAGTCTTTTTTTTAGCTCCTTGGGTAGAACATGGCATATTTGGAGGTCCGGAAACCCAACAGGTCCCTCATCTCATTGCGAAACTTTGACAGGTCTTGGCGAAGGTCGTTCAGATTTTCCACCGTAGCCTGGTCTGTGCTTTGCATCTTCTGCCGGGTGGAGGTCAGGTAGCGGTGAACTAGACAGCACATGATCTTCTGGTAGTTCTCATCCCGCTTCTGCTTCAGGTTCTTCCACTCCTGTAAGGACAGCATTAACACAGAGGGTCATTTGTTGAAGATTAGAAGATGGGTTTGAATCAAACTTTTACAATATTGTTTATCTCTCACCTTCAGACTGTTCTGTCTCTTCACTTTGCCCTTCGAGGTGTGTGAACAGATCCACTTGCTCAGGCTGGTCACCAAGTAGCAGACAGTCTTTGGAGAAGGGAGGATGTTTAAGGGTGGAGGCAGCGTGCACTTGTCATCAAAGTAGCTGAGCCACAATTTGGCCCGGGCAAACTTCCACTCTTTATCCTCGTGATTCTACAGGAGTCCAAAAGCCAATAAGAACACTTAAGAACGAAGGAATGTTGGAAAACTTTCATGCATTTAAACTTTCACACACAGTTTTACAGGAGGAATGTTGAAAATGCAAAACCACCACACAGTGGAAACTTAGGGGAACAGATTTTTGTGAAAGATAAGTTGCACTTATTGCAATCGAAATCAAGCAGGCCGCAAAGAGCGGTTCCAAGGAAAGAAAGTAGCTAACATCTGTGCAACAATTCAGGGCTACTTTGAGGAAAATTAAACCTTAACAGTAAACGAAAACCGTCGGAGATTTCAATGCCAGGACAAATTCAAACTGCCCGTGGCAGCAGCGAGACCATCAGCGCCAAAACTTATTTACACTTACAGCAATTTGCCTGAAGCTTTTATGGAGCATGGCCACCAGCAGCTTGGTCAGCACAATAACCACCACGATGTTGTAGGTGCCTATGATCATGGCGCCGACAAAAGAGCGCAGCTCCTCTGTGTAGCTGATGCGGGTGACGAAGAGTGCAACGTGTGCCAGGGAGAAGATGTACCAGAACAGTGCATAGCAGGTCCCCATAAATCTGCAAAAGAGACGAAGCTAGTACGTGTGCAGGTCCAGGTCAGATTTAAACATACAACCCTGTCTCCAAAAAAAGATGAGAAATAAATACAAACCTACATTTACATAAAAAGAGCTCCCTAGAAAGACTTTCATAACAACTATGTGAAGCACTATGTGGGGAAATATTTTAAGAATAGCATTTCTTATTGTAAAAATGCTAGGGGGCATGCAGATTCAAGTACCTACATATATCACTTTATTAGAAGATTAAGAGAATCTGGAGAAATCTCTGCACACAATGAAAATGTCTGAAAACCAATATTCAGTGGTCATTATCATTATTATGCCTGCAGGCATTAAAAAACAAACACAATTCTAAAGTGCAACAATTAGTCAGTTTAGGGGTTGTTAACATGTGATTTAAGCAGGATCATGTGCCAAATTTTCTGAAATGTGTCACTTCAAATGCAAAACAATTTCTCCTTTGTTTTAAATTTTTTAACTGAACGTAGGATTTAAATGATTTGTTGTTAAGCCGCTCTAAACTGAGGTGTGCTCCGATGCACAAAATGTCAAAAGAGAAAAGCAAGCAGAGAGAGACATGAGCAATCTGACTGCTGTGCAGACTTTATTACACAACCTGCACATGACCGACTACTTCAGAGCTTAATAAGATTTACAAAGCTTCCAGGGAACACAGATGTGCTTACCCATCTGTAAAAAAGGTGTAATGTGCACAATTACATAAAAGACTACTTTCAAATTTAAAAAAAAAAGGATTATGCATCACGTCACCTATCAGTTATTTTTGTTTTTATACTTTTACATGAAGATGGAAGGCGAGGGAGAGTTTTCTTGTGATGCTTCGGATGTCTTGTCTCATCTTCACAGCTTGTGCTCCAATTTTCTCCTAAAAATCTGACTTGAATTGTAACATTTACAAGTTTTACTCTATGTATTGTATATATTTCTGTGTATTTCTTGTATTTATTTAAACACACTATTTGTACTATTAACATTTGTCCCTGCTTATGTTAAAAATCACTGTTTAGTTTCTGTCCAAATTCTGTCTAAATTAGTGTTTTCCATGTACATGAATTGAAGAATGTATGAGCTACACAGTGTTTATTTTTATAACAGTCCTTTCATATGCAGTGGCAGTGCCTCATAGGCTTTTTAAACTATGTTGACTTATCTATTTTTTTTTTAGCTCTGAAGAAAGCACCCTTGTGCTTAGACTTCACAGTACTGAATAAAGTCTGTGCTGCATAACTGTTAAAGTGCTCCCACACTTTGCTGTCTCCTTCAATGTTATGATCTAATTTTACAGTATATAAAGATCATGTATGCATATAAACATATATAAAGGATAAAAACATATATAAAGGTTTTATATAACCTTCAACATCCCTCAACATATACACTAAACAGTCATTGACGCCATCGCTGTCCAAAATGACAGAATGAGGTTTGCCCATACGTGTGGAATGCGTCGTTGCTCTGCTGCTCGCAGAAGATGCCCCCGCAGTCCTTGGGTGGATTGTTTTCCTTATCTTTCTGGTCCTTTCCATAGAGCTGGGTGAGTCCAATGGTGAAGGAGAATAACACAAGCAGGAAGAGGCCCAAAAACTTTCCAAACTCCTGCAGCATTTGTCCCATGGAGATCTAGCGAGAGATTAACATTTTCCCGTTAATCTTGTGCTGCTTGCTCTAACAGCTTTCTCAAAGAAATCTCAATAATCTTCATCAGCCTTTAAGCAGCTGGACTGGATTAAACTTGACTCTGCTTAATGTCTGATCTGAACAATACTGGCCTGAAATGAAAACAACCAAGATATTGCAGTATCACATTCTCTGTGCTAACTAGATCTCCCTTTAAAACACCAATCAATCAAGTTTATTGAAAGTCTGGGTAATGCTAGAGACTTAGAAGATTTGATGAACTAGATTTTCTATGTTCTCTAATCAAATAACTTTTGTGCAACTGGACTGTGATATATTAAAAGCCCAACTACACATTAATTAGACACACTTACAATTACAGTATATTAGAGTGCAACTCTCTGATTTTTAAAATGTCACAGAAAGTGTAAATTATGTAAAAGTAACACTGTAGTACATTTAAATTCAACTACAGTCCAGCAGAATTCGTTTCTACTTTGTATACTGAATTTTTACTCTAGTACTTCTTTTCAAAGCCATTCAGACTTTAGAAAGACGCATGCTCGCACTGCTTCACCACTCTCTGACCACTCTTAGCGTGTTTTTTCACCCATGTTCAGATTTAGTAGTGGTTCCTCAGGGAAGAGGAAGAAAACCTACTTATTCTGGCTGCTAGAGTTCTCTCAACCTACCTGAAGAAACACAGAGACAAACACGGAGGAAGCCAGAGAGAGGACGAGAACACAGAAATCTTCTTAAAGCATTGGAAACCCACTATTTACAGGCTTGTGCGGCATATCTGTTTATAAGGACCTCGAGATGGTCAAACAAGGTCAGAACACACTCCTACCCTTGCAAAACACAAACACATATAAAGTGTCCAGTGTAAGAGAAAACCATTCTGGCTGCATGACGAATCATGATGTTTGATGAATGGTGAGTACAGAGTTTGTGCTGGAACCCAGGGAGTCTATTTGAGAAAGTTTGGTCTGTTCGGGTGATTTATTCCCCCAGTGTATTCATCTGCCACTTTGTACACATCTGATTTAGGAGATGTGGGTGCTCCCTGCCTGACAGATATCCTAAACTGGTTACTGTACAAACAGAACAGAAATATAGCAGGGTATTACCTCCTCACCGTGACTGGAGGAGGTCTAATGCATACCTCAAATAAATCTAACCAAAGATACTCAATGCAGCACTGTTAGATAATGAGAGGAAATTTTATGTTATTTAATTTAGAGAGTGAAAATTAAATGCATCTATTTATCCATCCATTTTCTCAACTGCTTGTTCAATTTTGGGTTCCTGAGGCTGGAGCCTATTCTAGCTGTCACAGGGGAAAAGGCAGGGTACCCTCTGAGCAGGTCACAGCACATCAGAGGGCTGATACAGAGAAACAGGCAGCCACTGAAAGCCCACATTAACACATACAATCAATTAACAATTTCCATTCCACCTAACAAATGCATTTTTGGAGTGTGGCAGGAAGCCAGAGTGGGCACAGGGAGAAAATGCCAACTCCACACAGTCTGGAGATGTCCACGACATGGAAGTGTATGAGGCCTCATTTAGTCAGGTCAGGATTCACCTACTTCACAGCGGGCAGAAGACTATGTTGGTGGGTCTCTACTGAGTAGCCAATTCAAACAGCCATATACCATTCTAGTTTCAGTAAACACTGACATTCCCGCAACAAAAACAGCTTTGCAG